TCTGTGGATATAGCTTGTGTTCAGGTCTTCAAAGTCTATATAAACTTAACCATAATCTGAACTTTAAAAATAACTATTTACCTTACTTTACATTCATTTTTGACAGAAAAAACCCCATGTAGCTTTGGTGGTCACAGTGGTCTATACAGGACACACATGAGAGACTTCTGCTGGACGAACCAGCTAACTTCCGGTTTAGCCCTCCGATCACTTGAATGGGGCTAAATAATTTAATCTTGCAAATCTTCTTTACTTTAAAAATGTTATCGGACGGAATTGATCTGATAGTGAAACAAGTCATTTCCCCAGGTTTGTGACACCGTTTTACAGCCACTTCTTTCACAATATAATCTAATGAGGAAAAAATGTTTTGGCTCAGTGTGCATCATGTGATGGATGTCATTGCTGTAATTAGACTATGTGAAATTGGCTTTAAAGGAACCACTGTCTTACACACTTCACAGCCTGTTCTCATTCCCAGGCCATCAAACCTGCACAATGTACCCACTAGATGCCACTAAATCCAACACACTGGTCCTTTAATGTTTCATCCTAATTCATAACAATACAATGAAGTCTGTTTAATTTGAACTTCTAACACTTCTATGTGGTTGTTAAACAAAACACTGACTATAATCACTATCAACTTTAATGTGTACTTTGTAAATATCTCGGTCACAGATGCATATTGCCCTTACCTCACTCTCTACTACAAGCACATCAAACCCAGTGCGGAAGTAGATTTCACAATACTTGGCCAGAGCTTGGGGTCGGGAACCCAGCCATGGCAGCATCAGCATAACAGGTTTCTGTTCCTCAGGGGCTGGGGGCCGACATCCCGAGGCTGGGGATGCTAATTCATTGATATAGAAAGTGACATTCTTACTGAGGCGGTGGGCAGTAACGCCTCTGCTCACCACTGTCCTGCCCAACATAGGAGCTGCTTTCAGGGCTTTCCAGTGAGAAGAGTCGCTACAGAGGAGTAGCAAACAAGGGGACACAAATAAGACAAAATGACAACGAGAAATTAAGAGAGCAACATTACCAAACTTTCGCTGTCAAACCGTTTTAACCTAACAAGCACAAGCACTGTGTATTCCTTATTGTTTCGGGGTTAACCAGAGAGTTAAAGTTAACTCTACCGTTGCATTAACTCATCACCTAACGCTAAGCTAACACTACCCAAGTTAACGCTATATAGCGTAAAAACACCAACTCAAGTTATCGATAAGTATAAACCTGACGTTAAACATGCACATATTGCCACATTTAAATAAATTATCTGTTGGTTAATCTTAATTTAACGCCACTAAGAATGGTCAAATCGCTCTCCGAGATAACGTAAAGTTACGTCAACCTTTTGTAACGGTATATTCCTAACTTTGTCTTCTGGATGAGTTAGCGATACTAACCTGCTTTCAGCCGTGTGCCAGTGATGCTTTAATGAACAAGGAGGGCTTTTCCAACGCACTGTTGCCAGCAGCGTAACGTTAATGGTTACCTCGCTACAAATCCTATGTCAACAAATTCAATCTCTTTCCGATATCGAGGCGAATATCGACCTTCTTCTTCATCTGGCCAGTGTGTTGTCTTCAGCTGGCTGTAAGTCGTATCTCAGTCGGAAATGCTGCCCTCCGTCGGAAAAAGAAACTCCTCCGCCATCCAACTGTACTCAAACAACACCAGTCTGACCAGTTTAACCAGTAATGTAAGCGATGACACATTTATTCCTGTACATACAATAGCAGGGACAAGTTCCATCTCGGCTCCTTCACACAATGCGGTGAATTAAACTTTTTTTTTTATGTGGCCAAATTCATCATTCAACATTTTTTCTCAAGTGGATAAACTAATGGGAGTTTACCACATTTTTTTTTTTTTTTTTTTTAAGGAATCTTTATTGAGACAGGTTAAAACAGAAGAGCCCATACAAACATTATATACTGTACAGACTAGTGGCCTGGATGTGCTGAATGTTAAAGTGCCTTTATGGGTTCAAGCTCATTGAATGTTGAATATGTAATGTTACTAATGTAGGGTCAGACCCCGGTCCAAAGGTCAGTCAGCAAGTGTCGCTGTCAATAACAGTTTGGTTTGTAGTCATGGTGCATCTGGTTTTCCACAGTTTGACACATACAAACCTGCTTATTTGTGTGACATTAGCTTTTTTTTTAACCAGTATTCACCTTTTCCCTCCCTTTATATTTATGCAAAGACACACACGTGTAGTTACATCTATCTCATCCACGCCACCGGGCCCACGGCTTGTTTTTTATCCTCTTAACTTGTGCGCAGCTTTGTTTCTCTATCTTGTCCTGACTGTCCACATTCCCAGCTGGACCCCAGTCCCTGCTGACTTTGTCTTGTTTGTAGGATGACTTGTCTAAACAGAAACCAGTTGCCCACTGAATTAGGATAGCAAGTGTGAGGCGGCAATAATTTGGCCATGTCCCTCACTGAGCTCATATGTTTGGCCTGTCATTGTTCCTTTCCAGTCCCTTTAGTTACGGCTGGATTGGTGCTTTCCTGTGTCCTCATCAGACAGCGGGTTAACCACACCCCTCGGGAAGTTCCTATCTTCACCACTGACTGATCTGAAATAGCCATCGCTTTGTTTATGTCAATCTGAATGCAAAGCAAATGTTTTTGTTGTTAAATTTCGGAGGTAGCTGGTAAGCTGCTCTCCTAATTACTGGCTGTGGTATGTGCTGTTTTTAAACATATTTGTGCTAAATATGTGGTTGGCAGATTTGTTTGGCATTCAGTTTGAGCCGTATTTATCAACAGTTTTTCTTTTTTTGGATAGAAGAAGAATCGCGTGCACTTGGCAGAATGTCCACGGAGCAATAATCCTGGCTTGAAAAGTCCTTTGCCCTGCTAATTCAGCAGTGCTTAGTGGAGATTGTAAAACAGAACTTTATATATCCTTACATCACCCAGACAGAGGCAGCACATAAGTGTGACTCTGCTTTAAACTCTCTGGCTCTGTGCATCCAAAGGTATGTGGATCAGTGTCTATTTTAGAACCGTCCTTGGGAATTGAATTAGGCCACGAGGTTACTGGATTTCCCCCATTGGGTAAAAACAGCACACGTGAACCAGTCTGATCGTAAGGAGGAAAAGAAAGAAAGCAAGTAATGTGGCACCATCACACAGAGATCATTCATGTGAGAGGTGCTTGCCACAATAAATGACATGGCAATAAGGTCATAAGTGGTGATTTCAGACTTAAATTTAGCAGTTCTTTGTTAAAAAAGGTGCATCCATTTGATTCAGAGGTACTGTATTGTAGGTACCACAAGAACCACTTACATACATTATGCATGTATGCTATTCAAAGAGAATCCTCTGCTTCAAACACTGTTCATGACATGACACACTGTGCTGTTCATGTGATGGCTGCTTTAAAAGGAAGGGCACAGCATTAGTTGTAAATTACGCTCAATAGCATGTATTGATCTGTAGCACTAGTTAGTTTAGTGCAGTGCAGGGTTACTGCCTGCTTGTTGGTTGATGAGTGTGCTTTGGCCCTTTTGACATAATGAATTTTCACTTTCCTTTATACATCTCTTCTCTTCTACACTCACAATAAACATCAGATACCATGCATCATAATCCAGAGCGATGTGTGTGAGTGTATGTGTGGAACAGAAACAGCAGTAAGGTTCCTATGCAGCTATAAAAAAGAGATGATTCTGAGTGCGGTGTGGATGGTGCCTCTGATTTAGGAGAATGGGATCACGCACACAGTCAAACTCACTGTCAGATCAGTGCAGCGACAGAGTGTGGGACAGTGGGGGTTGTCTCGAAGAGGTGGGGTCTGTCCCATGTGTCGACTGTCTGATGGAGAGAAGAGGGGCACAGCACAGTGAGTATGAAAGAACACAGAGTGCGATGCAGAGAGAGAGACTGCAGGCATGCAGCGACACAGAGCAGCATATATGGTATGTTTAAAGAGGCTGCAGCAGAATGGGCTATTAATGAGGTAAGAAAGCTGAAACGAGACCGGCTACCTAATGTCTCTTCACGTGCTGTTATAAGTGATAATCTCGTGTTTGTACTGTGTGTATGTCCCAGGACTTTATAGGAGAACAGGTTTTAAAGATAGTGTTTTCATATACCTCATTGGAGCGTGTTTTTTTATATACAGTATTTGCATTTTAGTACCCACGTGCAGAGATTCAAGCTATTTACATGCGAATATCCTCGCAATCCACAGTATTGGATGAGTGATTACACTGATTGTGTCTTCAATGTGATTTATCTTTCTTTCTTTCTTTTTTCAGGTGTGTTAAGCATGAGATCCCCAGAGACCTGAGGTTAGAGATCTGTAAAACATGTGATTGGACAATATCCCTCAAAACCCAACAGCATGTGACTTTATTGTGGAGTCTGTAGACCCTCACCATGCTCTCTCTGTGGAATCTTTATCTTCTTCTCCCCCTCTCCTTGCCTCTCTCACGTCATGTCATAGCCTTTGCCGGAGAAAATGTCAAGGAAACACAACAGCCAGACATTGACACAGCAGTCCAGCACGCCATGCAGCCCTCACAGAGACCTCATGGATCTGGTTTAGCACCGGCGAGTCCCATGTTTCGAACTGAGAATGTTGACTTCCTACCTTTGCGTTGGAACTTACCATCATCTGAGGAATCAGATAGCCAAGGTGTGATTGGTGAATACACTGATTTACAGGAGAGCACAGATACATCTCTCTTGTATCCTAATGAGAAGGGACTTATCATATCCAGACCCACAGATAGTGCTACAGAAGATGCCACCTCCAAGAAGAGTCCACAAGCAGTAAGGTCTTCATCAAGAGGAGTACCACCTACCCAGGAACAACAAACAGTAAAGTATCAGCCAGCTGAGACCAATACTGGATCTTTATTGCATTCTACACAGACTGGAGAGAATAAACCATCTTTCCCAGCCTTGCAGAATGAGACAACTAATAGCCAGTCACCTTTTCTTTTGTCTGGTTCACTTCCATCTTTATCTCATTCTGCTGAACCTGGGCCCAGCCCTAAGCCCCCCACTCCCCCAGTACCAACTAGCAGCCCAGGATGGACCTCTGGTCCTTCTGTTATCACACAGGGAAAGACACAGGAGGGGACTGTCCCAGTGAAGGATTATGGAGTTGGACTGATTGATATTACAGATCCTATTTTACATAGAGGAGCTGTCAGCACGGAGGAAGTTAAAGGTAAGAGTCCTTGCTTGAATGAAATTTTGTGTATTTGGAGCATCCATCATCTACTAAACCTGACACTAATCACAGTTAACATCTTGTCCCTTACAGCTCTTGTGAATCATATGATTTATATTGTTGCCCTCATTAAATACATAAAATAAAAGACTCCAGGACTATGTGTGACTGCAGTGTCTGTGATATGTATTCTGCTCGCAGACACAGTTGTTTTACATTCACAGAATGGTTTGCATCACTTCACTCCCCCAAGCTTTCACTCTCCTCAAAAATCTCTCCCTAACTCTTCCCCTACACTTTCTCCCTTCTCTTGCTGTCTCAATCCTTTCATCACAAATTCTCCACTCATTCCTCCACTACCATGTTACTGTAGAAACAGTTCATAACCATTGCAGTCAGTGTCCATTACCCACATCCAAAGGTTACTGGATAATGTGGTGCACACCTGCACAGTATTTGCTGTACACAAACACACAATGGCACTCACTTGTCACTCACTTGTTGTGTCCACAATCATAGGAGGAGAAGGGCTTTGACAGGACTGTGCGAGAAATTACCCTTCCTCAAGCTGCCTATGCATTTATAGCAGACACAATTTCCATCCTTAACATCCACTTTGTTGAGTAACTGTATCATATATTACCAAAATGTATTGGTATATGTGTCACAGTGGCACAGTCAATAAAACACAGTGAAAATCCTGTGTTTAAAAGGTCTCTCGCCGCTTGTTTGCTGCTTCTGCATTGACAAAATCACTTCACCACTAATGGAGGACCAGAAATAGGACACATTCCATTTATAACCAGTTGGTTCCTTGATTCTGGTGGCTCCATACAGCTTACTCTGAACCCTATTTCACTAGAGAATGAGATGCTTACATTATTTACTGGTTACACAGTCACATTCAGATACAAAAGTTGTGTGGATTCCTGTTGAAAGGATGCATTAACAATAATGATAGATAACACATCTTGATCATGCTTAATAATAGCCACACAAAATGAGAGCAGCAAGGTCAATACTGGCTAATCAACACACATCTCTTTCTCTCATACAGGAACACATACACTCACACTGCTTGCTTGCTCATGCTCTAGCTCTCTCTCTCTCTGTGACCCAGTTAGACATTCCCAGTTACAAGCCTGCTCTGTTATATTATGGATTAACTTTACACATGCAAATTCTCCCCGGCTCTCTTTTGGAAAGACTGTGAACATAATTTAGTCTGTTCTGCATTCATTGGTTATTATGTTGGGTTCATGTGCATATTAATGTCAGCATTATTAAATGTTCCACAGGTAATGTTTAGCATATGCATCAAATAATTTTAGTGTGTTAGGATGCTCTTTCCATTCGCCAGCAATTGTATCTGTACTTAAATGCTCTACCTTTTAGTTCTGTGTTGACGACAACTTATACGTTGGTAATGTTTAATTTATTGTACTTGCTTTACAGATGACTCCATGGATGATAACCTGCACGTCTCAAAGACCAGTGGCACACTTGATGGTAACAGGGACACAACTACCACACCCTGCAAAACGTCAAACCAGTCCTGGACTCCCACCTACTCAGATGATTTTACTCCAAATGAGGTCCTGCACCCCTCACTAGCTGTCAGCCCTGCCCTTTTTGTCCCTCTGTATTCAGACTGGAACTCTGCCCTCGCCACATGGGGATTTGCTTGGGAAGCACACATATATGGCCTGGGGTCTGTCTTCACTGTATTTGGCCTAATCTCTGTGGTTTGCCTGTTGGGCCTGCCCCTGCGATGTCCCCCAGGAATCCCCTACCTCACCCTGCTGCACTTGTTCCTCCTCGCTTTTGCAGGAATCCAAGCTTTTCGTTTGCTCTATGATGCTTACAATCACCAAGATCGTCTTCCCCCTCTGGGCTCTCTGCTGCTCTCTGAGCTTCCCTTCCCCTGTTTAATCTCAGCCTTCTCCCTGGCCATCCTCCTTCTTTCCTTGCGCTCACGCATGCGTCTTTCACTTCCACTTGCTAATTCCAAGTCATTGTCAGTCTTGCCAAAGCCTTGCTTGTTACTGTGTATGTCCCTGTTGCATTCTGTTGTCTCTCTAGGGTGTGTTGGCATGCTCCAGTTCTTCCACAGCCTCCCCACCGTGATCCTGCTATTCCCTCAGGGTGTTTTTGTATGTCTCAGCATCTTTCTCTCATGCTCCTACCTCATCTTCTACTGCTTAATACAAGTCAACACTAAACACATCTACCGGCTCAATGACAATGGAGAGAGTGGAGGATCTCCTGAAGTGATGCGACCTGCAAGTTGCCCCTTTGCCAAAATGGAGGACTGGGATAGGGCAGCAGGAGCTGGGGTAGGGGCTTCGTTGTGTTTGTTAGGGTGTGGAGGCCTCCAGCTTTATGGGATCCTGCATGCTCTTGGTTTGGGTGGGGTTGATGGCTATGGTTTCCAGCCTTGGCCCTGGTGGGGCTACCAGGTGGGCTGCAGGCTCTGTGAGGTTGGGGTGTGTCTAGGTTTGTCTCTCATTGGTACACACCCTCTGTTCTGTCACAACAACTCCTCTATCAAGACCATAACTCAACCTCGGCCAGGGTCTTGGTCACGCCTCTCCTGCAGCTCTCCTTCACGAGGGCTCACCCTGCCCTCTCAGGGAGGTGCAAATTCTCCTGTCCTCTCCTCTCACGATTCGTGGTCCCAGGGTAAGCAGGAAAAGCTGGTGGTCTGTGATGTCATCACTAAGGGACAGTCAGAGGCTCTTCCTCTATTCTCAATTGTGGATCCTCCTGGAAATGGGCTAGACTGTGTCCCCAAGTCCAGCCAAACCCGGAACACTGTACTGCCTCTACCTACACCTCCAAGCCCACCGCACAAGCCTAAAAATGCAGTTGAGTCTCAGCTATCATCACTGGATAGCCTACACTTGGAGACTGACTCTACTGTGGACCTGCGCCCCCCATCTCCCATAAACTTGTCCCGCAGCATTGACCAGGCTCTTTTCAGTGAATCCCTATTCTCTCAGAGTATCTTTGGTTTGCCAAGATTAAATCATGCTTCTTCCAGCCTCTCTTTGAGCTCTCCTAGCCAAGGTCTGTCTAAGCAAGGGCCAAGCTCTGTGGAAAATGCCCTATACCGGACATCTTCCTGTGGAAATGTGGATCAAGAGAACATCCTGTCCAGTTCAAGACCTTCTCAGCCACATGGGTCTTCTTACAGCAAGTCACCAACGTCACCAGAGCAATTGGATTGGAAAGGGAGTGTCTCTGGCTCAACCCAGGGTCTGTGCAGCAATCCCAAGGAGACAGGAAAACTGCGCTCACATTCCTGGGCCAACAGAGGTCAAAACTTTACTCAGAGCAGCCTCCCAAGAGCGATCCCCCACTTGTCTTACCACAGGCGTTACCGGACCCTGAGCTTAGCTTCCCAGGACAGTCATGGATCAGGCCGGCTGGCAGGGACTAAACACCTGAGTGAAAGCAAACAGCTGGAATGGGATCTGGCGGTACAGGCAGAGTTTGTGAATGTGTGCAAACAAATTGATGCTCTGAGTGTTTGCAGTGACACCATTGAATTGTAGTAACTTATAAAAGTCACGTTATGTTTGGAATGTACATGATATTGTATAGAAATAGCAGATTAGCTTAGATAGAGGAATTGAATTGTACATCATAAAAGTTACATAGATTAAACTAATTACCTGAATAAATGAAAGGAGAAGTGACATTATTAATACAATATGTAGACACAATTTATTTTATACTGTAAAACTTTACTGTTGATATTGAAAACTGACTGACTGCAGCACACTGTTTTCCAAAACTTTCAATAAACTCTTCGCTTTGCAGTAATGTTTTTTTTTTTTTAAATATTGTGGCAGTATTCTGATTTAAATATTAATTCCAGTTAGACATTCATGAATGTCAAGGATCAAATAAAGAAAAATAACAATAAATAAATACATGAATAGTGTAATTGCTATTAAGAAGTTAACTTAAGTGGGGATTTTAATATTTGTATAACTGACATGTTGAGCTTTGTTATATTTGAAGCTGTCCTGCAGAGAGAATATTAAGAAGAACCTTCTTCATTAGTGGTTTTACAGTGTTGATTTACTGTTGTGGTTTTAATTGTGCAAAAAGTGAGATGTGCTGAAAAGGACATAACATATAATAAGATAACACCCTTTGACCTCTTCTCTGATGTGATTGTACGGACACAATTTAATCTACAGTGGTAAACAATATGAGGAGAGCTAAAAAAAAATCTAGAGGGAGCTGAACATTAATTTCAGAACAGTGGCAAACTTCATCATAGGAACAGTATTTTGTTAAGTAGTACTTTCCTCGCAGGATTATCATGCTATTTCAGTGCAGTGTAATAAACATGGAAATTCAAGCAAAATTCATATATACAAAGGATGATTTGTCTATGTTTTTGTATTGCCTGCTTAGCCAACCATTTGAGTGGTGTCTTTGAAACTTTAGTAGCTTGGACAGTCTAAATTGTAATAATGTTGTTAATGTTTTTTTAATACAAGTGAGTTTTAAACTGGTATTGTGTATTGCTCATGTTTGAATTTCTGGGCCGACTTCAAGATATTTCTGAAGGGTAACAAATGAACATGGTTGTTAGATTTTTAATATATTGCCCTCTAGTGGTAATGAGAAAAATCATCATGCTGGTCGACACTTTTTGCTTCATGTATTTCTGGAGATGTGACAAAAATGTTTAAACAATATCAAAATGTCCTTGTCAAAATTATCTTTATTCAACACTATTTACAGTAAATAGCCTTAGGGTGGGTGATGGAAGAAGAATATATTTTCTGTAAGTTATTGCAAAATTCAGATCAAGAGTTAATCATAAAGTGACATATGTAATACCAACGACATTGAATACCTCCCAGAAAAATAAACAATCACATTGAAAACTGATAAATCAACTACAATTCTATAAAGAAATCAATCTTACTTGGGCAATTGTTTCTATCCTACTCCACTGAATTCATAGCTCTATTTCACTGACTCGCCATTTAATGTTTGCTAAAATACTGAGCCTGAAAAAAGAGAAATAACTACTACTTTATTATGTATTATGTACAGTTAATAGTCATGTAATTAATAATGGGTTTTTTGCTAAATGAAATTATGGAAGATCACAATATGTCAAGCCAATGTGACTCAGACTCATTTGTATTATGAATATAAACATGATGTATGAATTTATAATCAGATAACTGAAATGTAAAGCATGGGTAGCCTCCTGTCTTGTCAATATAGTATTTTCTATGCCAAATAAGATGAACACAGTGAGATTACACATGATAGCTCCTTTAAGGCGCTCCTTGTTACAGATATGTTAATTAAGGCTGATGCTAAGCTTTGGTCCCTTCTGCAGCAGTGTAGCACTTTCAAAGAGATCACCGACTGGGTGTGAGATTACATGCAGGGTGATCAGGGCAGAGCATCCACCATGTACCAGTCAATGTCATTGAAATTACTTGCAGGTGCAGTATGTAGATAATGAGATGTTAATTGTATTATATGTACTATACTGTATGTTTCCCCCTGGCTCTGTAAGCTTTGTACACAAGGTTGCAGGCTTGAAAATTTGACCATAGATATAATTCAATATTATTTTACACTTCTGGAGTCTGCTTTCATTATCATCAGAGAGCTTGTATTAAAGCTATTGTAACGTTTTCAATTAAATAAAATGTTAAACATTCAAAACATTATGCCAAAACATCTTTTCTTTCTTTTTTACTTGTCTTATTCTATAAATAAAGAATCTAATTTCCTGCAAAAAGAAGAATCTTGTATGATATATTAAATGAGCATGGAAATACCAGGTTTGCTGTGTATCAGTGTGCAACAGAGGCCAACAAGGAGATAGACGTCAATAGATCAACAATAATAAGCTTGTCCTAAATTAGTTAATTACATGTTATCTTGTTAAACAGGATCAGCAGAATAATTAAAGGACCAGTGTGTAGTATTTAGTGGCGTCTAAGTGGTCAACTCCCATTGCAAGTGGAGAAACTACATTTGCCACAAAACTGAAAAAAACACGAAAGGCCCTACCTAGAGCCAGAGTTTGGTTTTGTCCGTTCTGGGCTACTGTAGAAACAGTAGAAGAGCAGTAGAAGAGGACCCACTCCCTCTGTAGATAAAAACAGCTCATTCTAAAATAACGAGAAAAAAAATGAAAACAGACCTGTAAATATTCAATTTCTGCCAATAGATCCTCCTGAATGTTACACACTGCACCGTTAATTACATTACCCCCACTACACCATGGCAACAGAAGGATAAAGACAGATAAAGAGCTCATGTAATGGACATGAACCCGCTGACTCGCTTTTGAACTTTATACCCACATCACTACAGTGTGCTGTTTCATCTATCTTTGAAGGGGTCAGAGATCAGACAGACAAGAACAAGAGAGGGTGTGGATGTTGTGCAACGACAACAGCATTGTGTTTGTGGTTTGATCACATGCGCCCAGTGCATCTGCTCATAGCTGCTGGGGTCGGGACGCTAGGTCCTGATCGAGTGTTTCCTCTTCCTCCCCCCTCAGTAAAGCCGCTTTTCATAACTAGACATGGGAAAGAAAAGGAAGACTATAAGCGTTTTCTGTGTTGTGAAAATAAAAGCAATCTTGGATGGAGATGACTGAATGAAAGAAGTTGGAGGTGTGATAACCACATGGATATACTTACATGGCACAAAAGAATATCTAATGTGATAGCATGGGTAAGAAAAGAGGAAGAGAGAAGACAATTTTGATCCTGCTAGTGACAGGTAAATTACATTCCATTTGACAGTAAAAGGTTTCTGACAAAGGGACTGAATAAAAGTGAAGCTTAGACACACACTGTTAGTGCCTTTGTCTTTTAAAGTAAATGTCACATACTGAGAGAGGAAACTAGTGCCACCAAAATATTTAGACAGTAGAGGAACACAAGTACAAACAGGACACAAAGGAGGTGCAGAGGAGGGGAAAAGGTCATAAACCCAGACTTACGAGTGCAAGCCGTGGACTCCTCCTTCCATCTGAGCAGACATGGTTCTCTTTTCAAACTTCAGCTCTCCAGAATACATCATCGACCTGGTTACACAGACACACACCTCATGCTAGCCAAAACTTCTTACACAATATAAACTGAAACATACACACGATTTCACACTTACCGTAAAATGGACAAACTCTTAGCTCCTATGTCTTGACAGCCGTGTTGGATACCAGCGATGAGGTAAGGAACAAACTTATGGATGGAGCCTTTATCTTGCACTGATCCTGAGACACCTTGAGCCACCTTCACTTTATCTCCCTCACTGGACACACGCACACAATTCACACAGAGTAAGAGATAAATGTGCCACTGTGACATCCTATAACTTTACATTTTTCTAGAATAAGTCATCTGTAACGCCACTCTCCCACCTGAAGTAGCGTTTCTGACTGTTATTTTTCTCCATTGCATCCAAGGAGCCCATTCCTCTGTACTTTTTCAGACGCACACCATCTGAAAAGAAATATTCTCCTGGAGCTTCAGTGGTTGCTGCGAGCAGTGACCCCATCATCACTAAGAAATGTGAGAGGACAAAAAATGGGATCATGTGATGCTGAATGCAAAGGGCAACAGGCAAGGGCAGAAATACAACAAGAAATAAGACAGAAGCAGCAAAAACCACAACCTTTATTTTGAAAAAGTAGTACAGTACTAGTGAGATCACTAGAAAGAAGTGTTGACAGAATGATCCAAATGTAAATCACAAACATGTAGGACTGGGAGGAAAAAAGAAAATATTGCATTTTTGTACCTGTAGATGCTCCCAAGGCCAGTGCCTTCACCACATGTCCAACAGTCTGAATGCCTCCATCAGCGATTACTGGCACTCCAAAACGCCGAGCATACTCTGCAACTTTGTACACGGATGTACCTTGGGGCCGTCCACAAGCCATCACTGAGGAACAAAAATACAAATAATACGCTATGTTGGCAGCACAATATCCCCAATAATACAACTGAAATTAATACATTATTACAAACCCAGCTTTAGATTTGTCTCTTTTTCTAAATAATCACTAATCTGTGAAAAGTGGCAGTTTCTGGCTGCACTTTGCTTTTAATGCTTAAACCAGCTGGTATTCACAGTACTGCACATCCTCATCATACCTTCCTGGGTGATACAGATGGAGCCACATCCCATCCCCACCCTCAGTGCATCCACACCGGCATCTATGAGGTTTTTAGCCTGAGCAGCTGTCACCACTAGAGAGTGACAAACGCACAGAAAAGAGCTTAGTGTGGGGGACATACGTAATAGGTTATAGGGAGTATTCATAGAACAAATACAAAAGAAAGCTCAGAGATGAGAGGAGAGCTTACCATTTCCTCCAACTACCTGTAGTTCAGGATATTTCTGTTTGATGTAGTTTATCATGTTGATTTGATACACTGAGTTTCCCTGTGAGGAATCCTGAAGAAAAAGAAAATTTCAGTTTAATTTAAAGCAATAAAAACATAAAAGTTCCAATTTATCCAAATAATTAGCCACTTCATCCATCCTACGTGTATCAAGAGGCTGATAATTCAAATCATAATCTAACCAAAAGCTGAATCAAACCACAGTCATAGCCTACCAGGACGACCACATCCACCCCAGCCTGCATGAGGAGGTCCAGTCTGTATTTGTCGTCGTCCCTCGTACCAATAGCAGCTCCACATAGCAACTGTTTGCGGGAGTCCTTGGAAGCCAGAGGATAATCTCTGTTCTTCTTCAAATCAGTCCGAGCAATGATGGCAACCAGCTCATCACTGTCATTCACTATGGGGAGCTTCCCTAGGAGAGTCAGAGTGTGAAATTAGTAAAATAAGAAGAGTCCAAGAGCTGGTTCCTTTTTCCCTACAGTAGAATGACATATGATATACACATTTACCTTTTTTGCTACGTTGTAGTATATCATTAGCCTCTTTTAGTGTGACTCCAGCAGGTGCAACCACTAAATCTTCCCTTTTTGTCATTGCCTGAATCAAAAAGAGGTTAAAGTGATTCAAACAGTGTGGATACATATCAATATACCACCCATTTATTTTAGTTTTCATTCAAATAAACACATCAATTATGCACCCACCTCCTCTAGGGGTCTGTCATGGTCCTTCTCAGACAGAAAGTCTATGTCTCTGGAGGTGACTATGCCGACCAGCTTGCTGCCCATCTTGCCGGTCTCTGTAACAGGGATCCCAGAGAATCCATGGCGTATCTTCGCCTCAAAAACGTCCCCCACTGTGTGTCTGGGACTCATTACCACTGGGTCTGTAATGAAGCCTTGCTCAAATTTCTGGCAAGGACAAAAACGTGAAATGATTGAAATGATGACAAAAAAGTGTTGATGATTAAACAGCATTCAGTGTATATTGTTTTAAAAATAACATCTTATTTTGAAAGCAGTGTCACAGAAGACTTTCTCTGTCTATTATAAGTTCTTGTCTTTGGTGGTCCAGTAGATGGTTTGTCTTACCTTCACTTTGCGCACCTCATTGGCCTGGAACTCAGGTGTACAGTTATGATGAATTATTCCAATCCCACCCATCAACTGAAAGCAGCCAATCAGAGATATGAGAGCAAATAATTAATTTATGAAATAACACCAAAAAAAGTATTCAAGGCCTTCAGTGTTCTTGTGCAATTAAACTGTGGCACAGGATGATGTTGGTGTGTGTGAGGTTGTGCAGTGCTTGTACTCACTGCCATGGCGATGGCCATGGAAGACTCTGTGACTGTATCCATGGGAGATGAAATAAGAGGTGTCTTCAGGGTTATCTTCCTTGTTAATGCAGAGGTTAAATCCTAAAATATTCGTAAATTTGGAAACAGAAGCAAAGCAAAATTAATCTAAAACATAATCTTAAATGTTATGCAATGACATGCTCAAAATGACTCCAAGGGTGTGTTCGCTACAAAATTAATCAACTTGATACAAACCCCACAGTGTTGTAGCTGCAGCAATCATTAGTTAACCAAATGTTAGAGTTTGCTTTTATTTTGAAGTGCAGTGAGCCTAAAAGCCAGTTTGGGCACATTAGAGAGTCTGACTTGTTGAATTCACCTGCTGAGTGTTAGATGACGCAGGTGTGTGTCTGTTTTGAACACCTGCTATCCAGCAATAACCCATGTGACATAAGCATGAAATTAATTTACTGTCCCAGCAGAGCTTGCAAAGACGAAAACAAAGCAAGCCAAATAAACAACACTGCGCTTAAAGGAACATAACAAAGAGTTAGGGATTAATTGCAAGGATTACAGCAAATGCTGTCGGTGCTTGTGAATTATTGTCAGGAATATGAACTATTAAAATGTGTGACCCAAAGGAATGACGAATGTAACTATTCATGTTTGCCCATAAAAATATTCTTTGTGCTTTCATTTATCAACAAAATCAAGAATATACTGAATACTTATGATGTGTTGGCCAGTGTTATGATACTCACCACCTCATCAGAAGTAAAGTCTATGAAACCAGGGAGGATCAAGAAGTCACTGAGAGGAGGGACAAAACAGAAAACGTGGTCAAAGAAAATCTTGCTTTGGAACTGGAATTAATTACATTAATAAAATTATTAATCAACATTACAAACCTTAAACAAGGATTGTATAGCTTTAGTTGCATATGTGTAACCGCACATATCCATTTCTAAAAAGCAGTCCTTTTTTACATTTAGCTGACAGTGACCAGACATAATCTGTCAGCCTTTCAACCCACTGAAATGTTCCGCATTTATCCTCTGCACACCGATAAACCCTGCATATAGCCTCCATTAAGGAAACTACACTGACACCCATTAACACACTGATATGTGCGCGCGCACACACACACACACACACACACACTGCTTTTAATGTCTGTGACACCACTCAAAGTCATTCTTGAAAGTAGCACTCATTATAATCCAACACATAAAACCCAAGCAGATGTGTCATCAGTGATATTACTAAACATTTAATGGAAGACATTGCATAATCCTAATGTGTGGTCTGTATGAGCACATGCATACATACCATGTGTGCACGTGCATCTGTGTCAGTGTGTTAAGTGTGTAATACCATAAAATGCATGGCCACAAAATGAGTCAGTCAAATGTATCTGTGTGTTTTTTCAATTCTTACTTGTATGTAAGTCCATCACCAATAGAAAAGAGTTGTTGTGCTGTTAAACCATCTTCAGGAACATAACCTGTGCCTCCGCTGATCAAGTAGTCTGCCATGCTGAAATATAAAAACACATACATGCACACATGACACAGCTAAAATATGAATGACTAGATCTTAATATTTGCTGAAAAAATTACAATGAAAATGTGACACATCTGTATCACGTTAGCCACATCTCCATACAGCTACACTTGAATTGACATTGATAATAGTTCTTACAGATTCTGTTAATCAACATTTTATTTAACTTTTTTAACACATTTTTTCATCCATTACTTCCCGTGATGGATGCATACATACATTGTCACTAAAAATAACATGTTGTTTAGTCTTTCTGGAGGTATTAATCCCTTCGGCATACATGTTGTTTTGCTCGTCTCTCTCTTGACCTCTGTTTCTCACACTTGCACTGTAGCCAGATCCTATTACAAACGTCAAGTCAAGACAGGAAATGCTAATGAAAGGAATCCGTCCTTATCAATGGAAACTCCTTCTATACACCTATGACGGCAGTACAGTAGGTAAGAGGATTTGGTTGGCTGCCCAGGTAGCTGATCAATGGATGTGTAAAAGTGGACAACCAACACTCCTAGAAAGTGAAAACATTATGGTTGCTGCTGGATAAACAATGTTTTTACGGGTTATACAGTTTAGCACAATTACTTCTGCAAAAGTGAAGGGCATGACCTTACAGCATAGTCAGAGTGGTCATAGACAGCAAGAGTATAAGACTGACCTCTCTGGTTCATATCCAGCTTGGATACGTGTAGCACTGTATCGCTGGGCTGCAGTCTCATGTCCATGTCCATGTGGCATTGGGTGGGCATAGGCCCCGTAAGGGTGAGGTTGTTCCCCATCTCTGTTTGAAATGCGCGGCCGGGCTGGTTCCATGTCCCCTACAATCCTCCTGTAGTCAATTTGGTAAGTGTCCCTCTCTCCATCTCCAAACCGGTCATAACCATGACCCTCCATCTCAAGGAAATCCAGGGCTACAACCTCCACAGGGCCGCACTTCCCTTTCTCTCTCCCTCTCTCTCTCTCTCTCT